AGCACTAATCACTAGGGTATATATAGAACTGAAAAAGCTAAACAAAAAAAAAAAAAAAAAAAAAAAAAAAAAAAACCAATCAATATACGGGCCAAGGACCTGAAGAGACACTTATCAGAGATGATGTACCATCAGTCAACAAATACATGAAAAAATGTTCATCATCACTAGCAATTAGAGAAATGCAAATTAAAACCACTCTGATTTTATCTCACTCTAGTCAGAATGGCAAGTGTAATGAACACAACAATAATTGGGGGAAAAGGTACACTCATACACTGCTTGTGGGACTGCAAATTGGTGCAGCCAATATGGAAAGCAGTATGGAGATTTCTTGGAAAACTTGGAATGGAACCACTATTTGACCCAGCTATCCCTCTCCTCGGTCTATACCCAAAGGACTTAAAAACAGCATAGTACAGGGACACAGCCACATCAATGTTTATAGCAGCACAATTCACAATAGCTAAACTGTGGAACCAACCTAGATGCACTTCAATAGATGAATGTATAAAAAAAATGTAGCATATATACAGAATGGATATTACTCAGCAATAAAAGAGAATAAAATCATGGCATTTGCAGGTAAATGGAGAGTTAGAGAAAATAATGCTAAGTGAAGTTAGCTAACCCCAAAAATCCAAATGCCAAATATTTTCTTTGATATAAGGAGGCTGATTTATAGTGGGATAGGGAGCAGGAGCATGGGAGGAATAGACGAACTCTAGGTAGGGCAGAGAGATTGAAGGGAAAGGGGGGGGCATAGAGTAATTAATGATGGTGGAATGTGATGATCATTACTATCCAAAGTACATGTATGAAGACATGAATTGGTGTGAATATACTTTGTATATAACCAGAGATATGAAAATTTGTGCTCTATATATGTAATAAGAATTGTAATGCATTCTGCTGTCATAAATAAATAAATAAATAAATTTACATAAAATAATGCTGCCTTGGGTACAGAACCAGGCCCTTAATCATATGACCAAAATTTCTGACAAGAACAGCTTTGAAGACAAAAAGGTTGAGGCTGATAGATTCAGAAGTTCAGTCCATGATCGGCCAACTCCATGACTTTGGGCCTGAGATGAAACAGAACTTCATGGTGGATGGATGAAGTAGAGGAGAGTCACTCAGCTCTCCTCACTTTCTGCCCAAGAGAAGTCAATGGATATATTCACAAAAAGAATTATAGAAAAATTTTCATAACAGCTTCATTCATAATGCTAAAAACTGGAAAAAACATATCCATTTATAGAAAAGAATAACTTACGGTATATTTATATAAAGGAATATTATAACAATAGAGAAGAATGAGGAAATTCATTGGCATGTATCACATTGCATTATATATAAGAGAATAAGAAAAAAATGGAAGATAATTTCTGCCAAAATAGGTATTAATTTTTATAGTCTTAATTTTCACATTATTTATTATATATTATTTTAGTTACCAGAATATTTAAATACAGTGGTATAAATAAATGTAGAATTTAGATATAGTCATTGTATATGTCTTTTAATTCTCATAATCGCCTGAAGTAGGGCAATCATAGAAGAGGTTTTTGTTTTTTTTTTAATGTATCCTTTATTTATATTTATTTAATTATTTGTATTTATTTATTTATTTTTGGTCAGAGGTTGAACTTAATCACTAAGCCACATCTCCAGCCCTTTTTAATATTTTCTTTAGGAACAGGTCTCACTGAGTTGCTTGGGGTCTTGCTAAGTTGTTGAGGCTAGCTTTGAACTTGTCCTCTTGCTTCAGTCTCCCAAGCCTCTGGGATTACAGGTGTGTGCCCTGTGCCCAGCTACGTAGAATGCTTTAGATGATGTATATTTGGCTTTATTGATTCATCATCAATGGTTTCTCAGAAACCAGTACATTCTGATCTTATTATATTCAGTATTATTTGTTTAACCTATTTATTTATTTCTTTTTTATTTTCAGAACTGAAAGCAGAAGCTAGTCTAATGGACCAGATGAGCAGTTGTGAGAGTTCATCAGATTCTGAAAGTTCTTCATCTTCAAGTAGTGAGGATAGTTCTAATGACTCAGATGATGAAAGAGGCAAAACCTCTCCTTCTGATCCAGGGAAATATATCTCAGGACATCCTACCATGTCTGCCATACCACAGTACAGAACTTCTGATGTAGATACTAGTCATAATAGATTTCATGACAACAGTGGCCTTCTAATGAATACTTTACGTAAGTATACGTAAACATGAGCAATTAGAAAAGTAGGAATTCACGGTGGAGCCATATGGATTGTGATCTAAGTTTTAGGTAAAGAGGAAGACTTCTATTTTATGTATTCAACACTGTTAACCATAACCTTATTGAATTATTCATTTTCTTTTGACTCTGTAATATAATGCTTTCTTGATTTTTATACCCTCTAGTTACTTTTCTTTCTCCTTTTCAGGTTTATAAACTTCTATTCAGTCATTTTAGTTGGAGTTCCTCAAGGCTTACTCCAGAGTCATTTTTTCTTTTTATTCTGTCCTCTTTCCCTAAATAATCTCTTTTTAGTCAATACCTACATGCAGGTAACTTGCAAATTTTCATCTCTAACTCAGACCTCTGAGGTCTAGACACATGTTCTAGCATTTCCTAGTGAAAGGCAATCCAAACTCAATTTGTCCCAACCTACTTCATATCCTTGGCTCACCTTGTTTCCTCTTAGTGAAAGGGAGCATTCATCTAATTATGCAGAACAGAAGCCTGATTACATTCAAGGGTTGAGTTTCTGTGTCTCTTTACAGTGTAGCTAATCCTTCACCAAGTCCTTTTGAACTTGCCTCACAAATATTTTTCAAATTTATCTACTTCTCTTCCATCTCTGCCACTACCATTCTAGTTCAACTTTCATTTTTTTCTTGCTTTAACTACTATAATTATTTCTTAACTGATTCACCCCTTATCTATGCAAAGCCATTTTTGATCCATTATATACATTATAGCTATATTGATCTTTTCACAACTTAAATACAATTTAAACTGCTTTAAACTTTTCAATAACATGATTTCTTTGAAAATAGAGACAGAATATTTTAACATAATGGTTTTCTTTCTTTCTTTTCTTGCCTTCTTTTTATTACTGTACTCAAATACTTTTACTCCTCTCAGTGCCCTTATAAATGCTATTCATACAACCAGTAACCTTTCTTCCTTTCATGTGGTTTAAATGTTCTTCTTTAGATTACAGTTCAATGTTTACTTTCTCAAAAAAGTCTTCCTTCCTCTTCTGATAGTCTGATAATATTTTGTATAGCTCCATAAGATATCAGATACATCTTTTTTAAAAATATTTTTTAGTTGTTGATAGACCTTTATTTTATTTATTTATATGTGGTGCTGAGAATTCAACCCAGTGCCTCACACATGCCAGGCAAGTGCCCTATCACTCAGCCACAGCCACAGCCCCAGCCCAGATATTTTTTTATAACAGTTGTAACAATTGTAAATTAACATTTATTTGTGTGATTTACTGTCTTTCTCTGGAGTAGAATCTCCATAATGACAGGGATCTTGTTTTGTTTTGCTCATCATAGAATACTAGCACCTAGCATAGTATCTGATACATAGTATATGCTCAGTAAATATTTTTTAATCAAGGCATGCATGTTGGTATTCCCTGGGGAAAGGAACTTTCTATTTATTTAAAACTGAACTGACTGCTAATTCTGATGAAAAATGGTAAGCATCTTGAAAAAATTAACTAGCCCAATAACAGAACTAACGAAGGGAGGAACCAAGACTGAGTGGTAGAGAGAGTAAACTTTGAGTTAATTGGGGACCAGAAAAGATATTTTGGACCTCCAGTTACTCARTATTATTCCTGACTTGTGAGTTAAAATTGGACCATTCAATTTAAATTTGGCTAAGGGAGCACTGAGAAAACTCAGGTTGGTTGGACTGAATGAGAAGCTGAGTAGACATTAGGAAATTTTTCTGAGAAATTACTGGGTCCTAGTGGACCTGAGTGCTCAATCAGAATATATGTATTATATTCCTGTTTATCACTAATTATTTAATCAATAATAATTCATTTAACTTTTCTGAAGCTTCAGTTTCCTCCTCGGAAATGAAGGTCACATTGTCTTATAGACTTTGGAGTTCAGGAGAGTTTATGTCTTAGAAATTTTTTTTCTGGTACTGCATGGCACAGTGAATTTATATTTTAAAAATTGTCTTTGTGCCAAATACTGTAACAATGGATAAAATATTAAAAGATAAAAGCCAGGCATGACCAGGATCAAACATAAAATAAACATGTCCATAGACAGGAACTAGAATACAAACATAAAACTGTAGGCTTGGTCAGGCTGAAGCCCTACTCATTGGCTCCTGAGTTCAAAAAGAGTTGGTAGTGGTAAGAAGCTTCAGGGAAGGATTAAAAGTGCTTGATATGATTTAGGTAACCTGAGTCTTGCTTATATTTGAAGTTACAGTATTTTGGAGAGGATGAGAGGATGCAAGGTATTGGTACAGGTGGGGATACTCTTTGGTTAGTAAACGAGCAAACATAATTCTAAAACTTAAGAAAAAATCTAATGCTTAGAAAGCTAACAAAATTAACAATTGGAACATGAATTCTTTGCAAATAAAAATTTGTTATACAACAGTTTAAGACAAAGACATTTAAAGAAGTATGCTAAAAATGTTCAAAAGATGCACAAAGATATAACTTTAAAAGCCATATTATTCAACAAAGTCAAGCAGAAATGAATCAAAATCCAACAGATTGTTAAAAAGATTCAAAGACTGGGGATATAGCTCAGTAGTAGAACATTTATCACCAGCACCACAAAAAAGTAAAAACAGAAAGGTTGGTCATTGAAATTTTTAAAAAAATCAATAAATGGGAAAAACTGTAGACTAGACACATTTGAAGAATGAATTATTGAAATAGAAGATAAGATTAAGGAACTATCCCAGAACACGATACAAGATAGAAATATACAGTGAGAGAGCAGTTTAGAGATAAGGAAGATAACAGAAAGTTAAACACTGTGCAGTGGGAATTCCAGAAAGAATGAAAAGAATAGAATGAAAACTCAATTCTGAGAATTTTCCAAAATTGAAGGAAGTTATTAATCTATTTCAGCTAATAAGCCAGATAAATACGAATAAATATAAAATCCAACGCAGTAGTAAATCCACAGTAGTAAACATCAAGGATGAAAGGACAAGCTCCAGACATTTCAAAGCTATTTTTTCTTATGTGAGAAACTGCAATAGACTCAACTCCTCTCCTTCCCTCTGTGTTTTTTCCTCTCCATTGTAGTGTATTAATTGATGTACAGCTCTCATTCGTCATCTGCCTGCTTAAAATTTTCACATGAATCCTCATTATGTTTCAAACAAAATTCAAAGTTTTTACCTTGACCTTCTGGATATCTTTCTGACCTCATTTCCCACCATTCTCTTCCTCATTCATTCCACTCTAGCCACAGTGGCTTCTTGCAAGTCAAAGAACACAACAAGCATACTCCTTCCCTGGGGCTTTTCTGCTTGCTGTTCCCTTAGTTTGGACATCTGCATCTCCCCACCCTCATTTTTTATGACTTTCTCTCTACATTAATATTTTCTAGCTACCCTGTCTAAAACACCTTCCACCACTATCTCCATACTCATCTTTATTTTTTCATAGCGCTTATTCATACTGGCCATTATGTTATATGTTTGTTCATTTGTTTACTGTATGTCCTCCACTGAAATATAAGCCCCATGACTAAATTAAAGATGATTTACAAAAATAATCTATGATGACATATTCTTGAAATGTATTCTTTAATGACTTTGACTGTATTTTAAGTAAAAATTATATAACATTTTTTTAACTCTCCAAAATAATGATCTGATCTAAACCACACGTAATAAGTCAGTGGTATTAAAAAAGAAAAGTAATGTTGGTATGTGAAAGAAGACTAAAGCAGATGCCAGTGGTGCTAAAGCTATGACAAAAATTTGATGGTAAGACTTTTTTCTTTTTAGGCAATATTACTTGAGTTATTTACAAGATAAATAATATGATTATAAATGACAAAAAGCTATCTAAATAGAATCACTTGTGGTGTTACATTTTGCATAATATTTATGTTATGAAAAATAAGTAACTATTTATATTTAATTAATTACTACTAATTAATTTAAATATTTAGTTACTAAAATTTTGTTATTTCTCTTTCATTTTAGGAAATGATTTGCAGCTGAGTGAATCAGAAAGTGGCAGTGATGACTAAGGAAATTTTTAGCTATAAATATAACATTTTTAAGGCATGTGATAATTTATTTTGTATTAAGAATAAAAACTAGTATGGTAGGAAAATATGCCTTAACTTTTTATGATAAAGGAAATTAAATTCAATTCATAATTTTTAACTTTTTATTGAATACAAGCATTTTCATGTGTTGTCTTTGTTTAATCTAAAGAAAATTTTTATGAAGTTTGATAAATGAGGAAACAGAGTCAGAGGTTGTTAACTTGCCCAGGTGTTATTAGTTAACAAGTTGGAATTCAAGATTTCTAGTCTTAGGGCAGGGGATATAACTCAGTTGGTAGAGTGCTGGTCTTGCATGCACAAAGCCCTGGGTTTAATCCCTAGCACTATATAAAAAAAAAAAAAAAAAAAAAAAAAAAAAAAAAAAAAAATTTCTAGAGTCTTAAGTTCAATATACTATTTTTTTCTCACTGCTGTCTCCAATTGTGAAATTAATGATTTATAATGATTTATAATGAATTTATTAAATTTTATATCTAAGCCTTTCCTGTCTGATATTCCTTAAATTTGGGGTGAAAATAATTGGACTCTTGAGATGGACATCCAGAAACAGGAAGCATTCAGAACCCAAATAGACAATATCAAAAAAGAACCTCTCCATGACACATTATGATTGAAATGCCTGACATACAGAACAAGGGTAAAAATTTTAAAAGCTTCAAGAGAAAAAGGTCACATTTAGAGTCAAGCCAATCAGAATTACTTCCAATGTATCAGCACAAATTCCAAAATCCAGGAGGGCTTGAAATGATGTGTTCCAAGTCCTGAAGGAAAATAACCATCATCCAATATTGCTATGTCCAGCAAAGATATCTTTAAGAATCTAAGAAATAAAAACCCTCCAAGATAAGCAGAAACTAAAAGAATTCCTGACTATTAATTTCACACTATAGAAAATACCTACAGAAGTATTCTACACAGGAGAAATCAAAACCCAGCCTCAGAGCTCACAAGTTAACAAATCTCATTTGAAAAGTAGCTTAAAAATGAGAAACAGTACCAAATTAAACATTTTAAATAAATGAAAATGGCAGAAACTAATAAACATCTTTCTATAATAACATTGAATGTAAATGGTCTCAACACTTCAATGGTCTCAACTCTCTGAAAGACATAGACTGCTAGAATGGATTTAAAAACAAGACTCAACTATATGTTCTTTACAAGAAAGGATAGACTGATAAACCATGAAAATGGAGCCCCAAAACGATCTGGAGTAGCTACTGTCTAACAAAGTAGACTTTAATCCAGAATTAATCCAAAGAGACAAAAAAGTTCACTTCATACTGGTAAAGGACAAGAATATATAATGATAGTAAATATTTATGACAAGAATATATAATGATAGTAAATATTTATGCTCAAATATTGGTGCACCTAATTACATAAAACAGACAATACTCAAATTAAAGACTCAGACTCCAGTATAATATTATTAGATGGTTTCAACACATCTCACTCATGAATAGTTAGGTCATCCAGACATAGACTCAGTAAAAACTCATTGGACCTGAAAAAGGTAAATAAAAGGAACTTAACATATATCTATAAAATATTTCATCCAGGGGCTGGGGTTGTGGTTCAGTGGTAGAGAGCTTGCCTAGCATGTGTGAGGCACTGGGTTCGATTCTCAGCACCACGTAAACAAGTTAAATAAACAAAATAGAGTTACTGTGTCCAGCTACAACTAAAAAATTTTTTAAAAAAATATAAATTTCATCCAACAACAGCCAAATATACTTCCAGCAGCTAATGGAACGATCTCCAAAATAGATCATATTTTAGGCCACAGAGCAACTCCAGCAAATAAAAAAAAATAATATAATTCCTTGCATCTTATCAGATCATAATGGAATGAAATGAAAAATAAACATGAAAAACTACAGAAACTATATAAACACACAGAGGTTGAAAAATACATGTTTGATTAATGAATGGGTGATAGAAAAGTCAAAGAAAAAATTTTAAAAATTGTTAAGAGTCAGCCAGGTGCAGTTGCACATGCCTATAATCCCAGCAGCTTGGAAGGCTGAGACGGGAGGATCTTAAGTTCAAAGCCAGCCTCAGCAAAAATTGAAGTGGTAAGCATCAGTGAAACCTTGTCTCTAAATAAAATACAAAATAGGGCTAGAGATGTGGCTCAATGGTTGAGTGCCCCTTAGTTCAATACCCTGTACCCCTTCCAAAAAAAAATTCTTAGAATCAAACAAAAATAATGATACAACATATAAGAACCTCTGGGACACTATAAAGGCGTTTCTAAAAATAAAGTTTATAGCTATGCATGCCAAATAAACAATGATGCATCTTAGGGCCTGCTATAATATATAATGCTATAGCATTAACTATATACTATATAACTATATAACTATTTTCCGATAGTCAGTATATAGTTAATGCTATACTATCCCTTGAAGATGCTGGTAGGATTTCCCTTTCCTCTACTGTTTTCTCTTTGYTTTCCACTATACAAAGTCTAATCTGGGACAGAAAAGATCCATTCTTTATAGGACATATCAGGGCACATACAGGATTGCCTGGAGCCCTTAGTTTGGGCAATGATTTAGC